TGGGAGACCTGGGTTCAATCCCCGGGTCGGGAAGATCTCCTAGAGGAGGAAATGGCAACCCACTCCAGTATTCTTGCCTAGAAAATCCCATGGATGGAGGAACCTGGTAGGCTACAGTCCATGGGGTCGCCAAGAGTCGGACACGACTGAGCGACTTCACGTCATTCACCAGGGTCCAACCCCCTTGGTGCTAAGGCCTAGCAATGATTTTCTTTATAACCACAGGCATCTTTACAGGAACCCAACTCACTCTGCATGTATATTAAGGAAATGTAAATAAATCCTTCATAACTTGCAGGGATGCCTGGAAGTAATCACACTAGATGGTCAACCCTTGATAACTTGTGGCAATGGAGTCTATATATTTTGACAAAGTCTCACTTGTATGCCAAGCATCTGCCCCACAATATTGCATGGATTCAACCATATTGCATTATGTGTATAAATGGTGCATATTTAATGGAAAAAATCCATATATAAATGAACCCACACAGTTCAAACCCATGTTGTTCAGGGGTCAACTGCAATGCCTTTCTACCTCTGGACAACCACTCATACTCATAAGCAGAAAGGCAACGTAACATCTTATGATCTTGAGAGGGGCTAGCCAACACAATGAAGTTGGCTGTGAGCAGGGCCATGGAAATAACGCAAGCACTTCATGAGCCAAGAAATTAACCAACCCTCTGGACTTACTTTGTGTAATGAGACAATATATTCCCTTGTAATGTATAAGCCACTGTAAACTGGATTTTCTGTTTCTCGCAGCCCAAAGCATCTCAAATGATATAGTACTTCTTTGGAGAAGCAAGAAAAGGGCTCCCTGACAACACCCTAGGAATGAAGGAATAGTTGCTCGAAAAAAGAAAAGAGACCAAGATTTATCTCTCAATAAATGTTTTGGGAAAACCAGCTGTGAAAAAGTATTGTTAATAGCCACTCCGGATGTAAGGAGAGCACTTTGGAATCCTCCCATGCAGCATAAACACTGTAATAAAGTTCCAGTGAGCCACTGTGAATGGTATGTGTGGGGATATACAATATACTTGGAGTCATAATAATATGTAAACATCAGGGAATGACCATGAAATTAGTCTTTATTACTCATCTACTCTTATTCCCTTCTACATTTATAAGACTGGGTTTTGTTTTTTTTTTTTTTTCTTTTTCCTTTTTTTGCCCCCTTCCTACCTGATGAAAACAGAGACTCACATGATTGGAAGGGGAAGTCAGGAAACCAGGCTTAAAGAGGTTAAAAGATTTCCACAAGGTCCCAAAGCCAGTCGGGGGCAATTTTCTTTATTATTAAAAGTTCTTTGTGTGCAATTTTAGAAAAAAATTATTTGCTGAACACTCAATTTAGTGAAAGGAGAATTGGAGAGACACAGGAAATCAAAACTGAACTTTTTTTAATTAATTACATTATGCAAGTAAAATATACTTTTTGAACTTGTTGCTTTGAGTTTCTTCTTCCTTATTTCTAATATCCTCCTAAATTCCAATCCATTCCTCCCAAAATCATTTATCCCTCCTAGAAAACCCCTTCATATGGCCATTCTTGAGCCCAGTGATTCTCAAAAGATTGCATCTGGTTTACCTAGGAAGTAAATCATAAATGCAGATTCCCAGGCAGAGTCCAATTTAAAAGACTAAGGGTGGGGCCCAGCACTGTCCATGTAAACAAGCTCCCCAGGTGAGTGTAAATGTGCTTTGAAGTTTTATTCCAGGTTCCAAATAGAAAACATCTAATTTTTACATTAGATTTAAGCTGGAACAACAAAAATATGTGCAGAGCTGCCTATAATTTTTAGGTTCCCTCTGAGGTCTGAAACTGACCCAAGAGGTCTGTGATTTGGATGAACCCTGGTAATCATTTGCATGGAGGTTTGGAATTTCTTCTTTTCCTTCCAAGACTTTTTTTCCCCCCCGAATGCATTTCTAGTTGGGATTAAATATAAAATGTCTTAACTCTTCCTCCACAGCTAAAGGAAATCAATTTTAAAAAGTGTTTCAAGAGTGCTTTAAAAAGTACACAAAATATCTTCCCTTTGAACCAGACGCCTGGGACACACAGGGCAAACAGAGTAGGTAATAAGAGAAGTAAACACCAGGTTTTCCAGCAGAGAACCAACCCCGAAACTAAAACTTAGAAAGGAAGCTGACTGTTAAATAAGTGGACCAGAGGAACAATAGCTCAGGCATATCCTCGGATAAGTTTGAACCTGAGAAAACAGGAATGAAACAGACAAACCTCTTGTTCCAAGTTAACTTTCCCTTCTTGTTAGATTTTAAGAGAGGACAGCGTTGTAAATGAGAATAGAGAGTTTATGTAGAATCTTAGACCTCCTCTGGGTGCCTAAAGATTTTTTCAAACCTAAATGAATACTCCTTACTGGATTCAGCATGCATGCAGGCTAAGTCGCTTCAGTTGTATCCAACATTTTGCGACCTATGGACTATAGCCCACTACGCTCCTCGGTCCATGGGAATCTCCAGGTAAGAACACTGGAGTGGGCTGCCATGCCCAGCCCAGGGATCGAACCCACGCCTCTTATGTCTCCTACATTGGCAGGCGGGTTCTTTACCACTAGCACCATCTACTCATTTCCACAAGAGATTTTAAATCTAGAGCCGCCAGAGACCAAGAACACAGCACACTGAGAACAGGAGTCTGTGTGTCCTACCACCAGCTCTAACCAACTCCCACTTACAACTATGAGGGCAGGACTATATGTAGATTTCTTAATGATTATATGAGCAAAGAACTGCCACAGAACCTCACAGGACCAGAAAAAATCATTGTTAAGTATCAAAGATAATACACAATGCTCCAGAAATGCCACAAAATAAATAACTCCAGCAACAAAACTGGTTTAAATTTGTTAGAAGGCAGAAAGTCAAGGTCACAGCTTTAACATACATATTCCAGCTGTACTTCTCCTTGGTTTAGGGATAAAGACCAAACTTCGTGGGGTGGGAAGAGAAGTGGGTGGAACCAGAGGGACAAAGTGAAGCATCCACCAGAGATGAATAACCTCAATGATTCAATATCCATCTTGAGGGTTTTGGATTTTTTAAATTTCTATTTATTTTTCTTTGAGGATCTCTAACAATCCTCAGGGCATTTTAAAAATGGGAAGATTCAGTTCTGGTTCCACTGGATCACCACTGACTCTTGGTCTCTCTCAGTCCAATTAAACTCTCATCACAACTGCACAGCTTGAAATGCTTAACTTCTTTCAGCTGCTTCCTATCCTTTCTCCAGCTGCTCCCAGCAGCTATGGAGGCCTTCTAACACCCAGTGGCCATAAAGCACTCACAAACGAGCATCACCACACATATCTGGCCAGAGGGTGTACCTAGAACTTTCTCTGTTCTGGTGCAGGCCATTCAAGTGTATAACTAACGTCTAAACTAGCTTTTCCATTTCGCAAATGCCTGACTGGGTTATATGGAACAGGCACCACACCATCATCTCAGAGAATCTGGAACTACTTTTTAAAGCCCAGTTCTCATTATTTTCAACACATTTCATCAGGATTCTTTGACATTGGAGCCGGGGGTGGGGGTGGGGATTCCCCTGTTCTCAGTTATGCTTAAATGTTTTTGAACATACAAGTTTGATGTGGTAGGGCAAGAAAAAAAATGTGACTCAAAATAGAATACAGCAACCCTTGACTCTGCCTGATTGCTTCTCAGCAGCATACAAACCACTCTTGTTTATTCATCATTAACATATGAATAAATTTCATGGTAACATCTATACTCTCTCCAAAATATCAAGTGCTCAATAGAAATATAGGGCTTCCTGGTAGCTCAGCTGGTAAAGAATCCGCCTGCAATGCAGGAGACCCCAGGTCGATTCCTGGGTCAGGAAGATCAGCTGGAGAAGGGATAGGCTACCCACTCTAATATCTGGCCTGGAGAATTCCATGGACTATACAGTCCATGGGGTTGCAAAGAGTCGGACACGACTGGGTGATTTTCATTTTCAATTTTCACTAGTAGAAATATCAAAACAAGCCATCATAATCTCCCTCAGCAAAGTATTTACCCAAAACACATGACCAAATGGCAGAACAATGCCTGCATAAGGGCTGGATTTACAATGTATCAGTTCCACAGAATGTAGATGTATCAATACAGGTTAATTGTTATAGACTGTCTTTTTTTAGACTGTAGTCTCCAATCAAGAACGTCCATCAAAGTTAAAAGAAGGTTGGAACATACACATATGCAGTGGCTGATACAATAAGGGGTATCAGCAAGGCCAATCCAAAACAGGTCAAGCAACAGTAAACACACAAGGATTTCAAAAGGTTCCAAGACTATAAGTATCCCTAGCAGGAAAATCAAGTCCCCACTGATTTCCTCAGAAGGCAAATGGGCATTTGCCAATTCCTCTATTTTTAATACTACTTCAAGGGTTTTAATACACGTAACTTTTAAATTCAATGACATTAAAGAGAAGGGGGAGACTACCACCCATATTTGACAGACAAAGAAACTAAGGAACTGAGAGGTCAGTGGCTTGTCCAGGGCTAGTTAAGAACAGAATCAACTTTAGAATTCAGGCCTCTTTATTCCAAATCCAAGGTCTCTAAACTTGTAACATATTCCTGTTTGCCCTCAATCATCACTCCTGTTTGCCCTCAATCATCACAAGAACATGTAACTCCTGAAAAATCTGCTTTGTGATCTGGTAACATGGAGGACACACTTCTTGACTTTGATCATCACAAGAGCACAAAGCGTCCTGCAAACTCTACCCAGTGGCCTGGCCATATGGGCGCCTCCTCAGCCCACCCTGCAAAGCCCACCCAGTGTGTGCTGCTGTTACTCACTGGAGTTAACACTTCACACATTTCTCTCCTATGTCTTCAGCACACCTGATGCCAACAGTGAGAAAGGGAAACATAAGCAGAACCAAAATCAGTTTTTGTGCTAAGATAAGAACTTTCCAGGGCTGAAGAAAGGCCAGCAATCAGTTTTAAACCTACTTTGCCAAGTGGTTCATGAGCAGCTGTAACATCTGCCTATTTTTCTCTGGGAGCCGATGAACAAGGCTGTGGATTTCAGAGACCCGTGACTCCTGGTTCTCCAGCTCTGCAAAGGAAGGAGGGAGGTTACACTGGATCAGAGTTACAGCTAAATTAGTTTGCAAGACAAAAATCGGAGGAAAATTAAGGTGAAGCACAACACAGAGAAGATTTCTCACAGATAAGACCCTGTCCTGTGTACTCATGACTAGACTGACTGGATCTAAAAGTGCTTTTAATAATGCTTTCCATGACAAAGTTCATGAAAAAATAAGACTGTCCAAAAAGTCAAGCCAAAATGATGACATAAGGAAATGGAAACAGTCACCTCCTCACTCAGGAGTGGGAATAAATTTGAGAGTGGTTGGCTCCTTAGAGTGGCAGCTTTGTTTCAAGGAAGGAAGGAAGGAACTTTATGCACTCATTAAGTGATGAACAAATTATACGTGAACAACACTGCGAGGGTCTCAAACATCAAAATAACATCTCAAGACTGCATCAAAGACATCAACGGAAATGTCCAGTTATTTCCAAGTCACATGAAACAACCAGCCAGGGAGAAGAAAGGAATGGCAAATAAAATAAGGAAATGTTTCTGCCAACCTGTAACCTAAATCATGATCAGTCACATTGCACTTGGGTACATGGCTTCATGTCTCTGGGAAACAGATTGATGGCACTCACCATACCTATTTATAGTTCTGAGGTGAGTTTTAATTAAAGAATGGTTGCTATGGGTTTGGAATTCCTCTGAGAAAGAAATCACATAAATACCATCTTTACTTTCAGCTTTCTCCCAGGTCTTTCTCCTGTTTTATGGGGACCACTCTGCATGGATAAGGCCACCAGAACATGAAGTATTCCTTAATGAGGCCAGTAGCAGCTACCAGGGTAAACTAACTCAGATGGTTTAAAGGAAGCAGGAAAAAGCACATACTATGGACATAACAGCATGGTGGGGATTTGTGCCAGATTTAAATTTGATAGAGAATCTTACTTCCCCTTACAGGAGGCCTGCCCCACGTAGAAAGATTCCAGTATGCTTAGGGTAGCTTGCCCCTAATCTCTATGTATTTTAATACCAGTAATATGACGCCCAGGCTTGCATGATATAGCTGAAGACTGACCAGAAGCTGTAAATGCCAGCCATGATGGAAAAGAGGACTGAGAAGTTATATAAACTACGATGGAAAAGAGGACTGAGAAGTTATATAAACGGTGTCAGATTCAGGGAAACATCCCGTGCTCAATTTAGGTAATGAGCAGAGTCTGAGTCATTTCAAAAAATGTTACCTCCAGGGCCGGCAAAGGCCCAAGGAGTTAGAACTCCAATAATCAAAACTAGAAAGTCAAATTTGCTTTTTTCATCTCTCCCCTTCCCTGTACCACTACCCCCCAACTCACTTCTGAAGCTTCTCCCCTCTACTGTAAATTCAGTATGCTAACAGGGTCCTGAGCTAAACCCGACTTGGTTGTGCTTTCATTCTGTGACAGTCATATGAGTGTGAAGGTGGGTAGTTTACACACAGAGTACAAGGGGTTAGCTAATACTTATTTGGGGATACTTTTCATGGCTCAGACGGTAAAAGCGTCTGCCTGCAATGAGGGAGACCCGGGTTCGATCCCTGGGTCGGGAATATCCCCTGGAGAAGGAAATGGCAACCCACTCCAGTACTCTTGCCTGCAAAATCCCATGGACGGACAAAGGAGCCTGGCGTACTGCAGTCCATGGGGTTGCCAAGAGTCGGACACGACTGAGCGATTTCACTTTCACTTTTCTTTGAAATAGAGAAATCTATTCCTTTTCCCTTAAAACTGTAGCAAATAGAAAACTTACTTGCTGCTTTAATGAAACTTCTTTGAAACTGGTACATCATGAGTGGTCCTGGAAGCATTCTGGAATAAAAGGATATACACTAGTCAGTTTAACAAAAGCAATCCTGTTCTCACTACCCAGCAGCCTCCAGATGGTGGACTGTGATACATTTCTCAAAGACAAAGAATATGGGTAAACAAGAGCAACTCAGTTTAGTCCAACTTAGTTTCCCCTTTGAAAGGGTCCTGAGATTTCACCTGAAATGTTCATTCTTTCTCCTTTTTTAAGGGAACAGACAAAACTCACAAACCAGAAAAGTGCTAATGTAGAAGTCTAGCACAAACTCAGAGATTTCCTTTTCAGTCAATGACGCACCCACAACAAGAGCATTTTAAGATGTGCCTGAAAAACAGGCAACTAACCCAACATTTGCAATCATCAGCTCTTTAACTCTTGTCTTCCTGGCAGCTTGTTATTAATCACTTCATCTGGAAACACTATGAGAGACTTTTGTAGGTGTTTTTATAGCAAATTCACTATGAAGTATTGCTCCAGTATGCCAAAGGGTTAGAACCTTATTATTAGGCATGACACAATCAAATTTTACCTGCTATCATAAAAAATGTATATATTTTATACATACTTTCTATTAGCTAATCAATATCAAGCTGCACTAAATACAAATCTCTAGCATCTAGGCTTTATGTAATCTATTATGTTAATTATTTGGTGTATGAATATGTTTAACTATAAACTTGAGTATTTTTTACTGACAGTCCAAATAATAAGCTTCTCAACAGATTATCTATGGTCCTTGGTTCAGATTTCATTTTATTCTCATTGGATCCCCTGATTCAACTCTTAGTCATCACTTACATGACATCTTACTCTTGATACCAAGAGCCTTCCAGCAATTCCCCAACAGCCAATAAAACCGGCATCACCAATTCCTTTTCTGTGGCTTTCAAGCCAAGTAAATCTTAAACTCGTACAAATGCTTATGTAATTCACGATTATAGTTCTCCTCTTTGTTTATGACTAGACCCCCACTTTCCACAGTGGAGAACTATAGCATCCCTATGCTTCACATCTAGCATGCCTTTCAGTCCACTTGGAAACTGGGATGTGAGCAGCTAATCAATCACCCACTCCCTTAATAACCAAGGGAAGGGTAGGAGGCAGCAGGAGTAACACATGTACTATTACAAGAGAAGCAGTCTTCTCTCCAATGAAGTCATATTTTACAATCTAAGCAGAAGGAGTTAAAAAGGAGTGCCATTAAACTTCTCATTTTTAAGGAGCAACATTAGCAACACACTATCTGTGCAAGGTGCAGACTCTCAGAATACATAGGGTATGTAATCACGCATTCTCAACACAATGGGGTACGTGATTCCTTGTTTTCTTAGCTGATTACCCAAGCATTACAGGAAATACCATATTTGTGGTTCTGTTAAAGGCTGATCATCAGAGTAGCTTCTCGAAAAGAGCAAAGCTTCCTAAATCACTCATGGCACCATTACACAATGGCAATCTATCAACTCTGTATGATTTATAATTGGTTTGACCAGCTGAGCTAATTGCACCCACACATAAGCTGTTTCCACATCTCAAACTCCCACCCAACAGTCCTCTGGAAGCTGAAAATAAAACTGCTTTCTTCTTGATTGCATGATAACAAGCTGGCACCATGCCCTGCAAATGGAAAGTCCCTACCTTAGGTAGGTCTTCAAAGCACTAGTGATGGTCTTTATCTCCCACTCAGCGCAGATATCCATTTCGGTTTCAGAAGCTGTTTTGGGGTCTAAAGAGAAGAAAAGACAATGGGTAAAACAGAGGAGAAAATATAGCTAAAAAACAAACATACATAAAAGCATTCAACCTCCCTACTAAACAAAGAAATCCAAAGTAAAAAAAAAAAAAAAAGATAGCTAGTTTTTCCTGATTGAATTAGAAAAATGTTTAAAAATCCAAATATCTACTGCTGGCAAAAATGCAGTGAAACTGATCCTCTCAGAAACTGCTGGACGCAGAAGAATTAATGCAAGAGATGTGAGAAGAAATTTGGCAATATATATCAAGTCCTAAAAATGTTTATACACTTTGAAACAGTAATCCCACTTCTCACAACCCATCCTCAGAAAATAAGATAAGGCATAAGAAAGTTACATACACTTGAAATGTCCAACCTACACTACTCTTGATAACACCATAATACATTTTTTTTTTTAGTGTTTTTTTTTTCTTCCATTTATTTTTATTTGTTGGAGGCTAACTTCTTTACAACATTGCAGTGGTTTTTGTCATACATTGAAATGAATTAGCCATGGATTTACAACAACCAATTATAGAATGATTAATCATGGTATATTCCTGATGGAATAGCATGCTGCATTTACATGAAAATGATAACTATATAGCAAAATGGAAAATGCCTGAATGATCATGTAGTGTCAAGCAAAAAAAAAAAAAAAGATTTAAGGTTTTGTGAGAAATTCAAATGAATGAAAGCTGAAAGGAAATATTTTAAAAAGAAAAGAGTGGTTGGTTGGAGAGTAGAATTGTGTTTTTTATTTTTTTTAAACTATGACTTGATTCCATTACTTATATATTTTAAATTGCCCTAAACCAAGATGTGCAAAAAAAAAAAAAAACAAAAACAAAAAAAACCACCATAATTATATCAACTCCTGATCATTTCTTCGTTCCCTCTGTGTATACTTCCAAACAAATGTGTGTATTTCAGATAAATGTATACTGTAAAAGAAGAGATAATTCTTGTAGTCTTTCTGAGCAGCACACAGGCAGGCAAGAGGAGAAGCAGAGGTTGGGAAACATGAACTGTTTCATAAACCAGCAGAAACCTGGATTCTCGCTGGCAAGAAGTCAGAAGCAGAGTCTCTCAGTGCATTGAATGGACAATCCAACTTCTAGCAATTTGCCTCCCAGCTCCCATTCCCATTTCTTTCTGCACAGCGGTTCAGTTCATTTTCAGCTGGGCTGCTACCCTTTTCTTACACCTACTCCCCGTACTCAGGTGAGGCCCCACTCTTCCAGGTTGGGGTGGGGAGGATGAGATGTCTCTGAACCCCGGGACTGGTTCGGCCCAAGACCTAAGCCAGGCCAGTCAGCATGAAGTCCAGGACTTCCCTAGGAAAGAAGGCACTTGCTGAGCACCTGAGGGGTGATACTGCCACTCTGGATGCCACCACGAGGAGCCTGAGAGTACAGTCTGACAGACAAAGCCACAGGGAGAGGTTGAGAGTCCAGATGACATGGTTTGAGGCCCTGTAGATCACCATGCCTTTTAAATCAAATAAGTCAAAAAAGTCCCTTTTTGCTTAAGCCAGTTAAGGTCAAGTTCTCTGTTCTTCATAATCCAAAGAGGTCTAAATGTTGTAGCAGGTAAATGGAGACAGCAACCAGACTCTCTCTTTCTGGACAGTCTCAGAAGAAAGAGGAGCCTCCTGCAGGGCCCACAGCTTTGCAGCTGAAAATGAGTCCACAGGTGGGCATGACACATTTTCCATTTACTTTCATCCTAGTAAGAAGAGGTCAGAAATCATGAGTGGCTTAAGGATTTAGGCCCTAATCCCCAAGTAAGGGCACAAATCCAGTTGGTATCTACTGCTCTCAGTGTGTTCTCCTGACAGGGCCCCGGTTCAGTAAGTGTTTGGCTCCGAATGGCATAACATTAATTCTTTTCTGGCTTTGCCATCTCACATGGTTTAATGGTTTGTTTCTTCCTGTGGGAGTGTAGGTACCAAACAACTTCACTTACCATGACCTTCCTCCCTCCCCATCCCCAAGACATGTGGAAAGTTGCCAGTGCATGGCTCCTGGATGCAAGACAAATGTTACTGTACATTTTTCTGAGGAACAAACCGACTTCTACCCAAGAAGAGTGAACATGACACTAAATAAGCAGCAGTTGGCAGGTCTGGGAGTTGTGAACTGTTCCATGAACCACATTTAGCAAACTAATGATTAGCTTCCACTTATTCGGCCTCTGTAACCATAGGAATATTGTGTAACATTACAGAGAGGAGAGTCAAATTACAGCCAGGCTAAAGGGCTTTTTATAGCACTGATGAGGCAAAGTTCATAACTTGAGTATGTTCATTTTAATTTATTTAATCTCCAGACTAAATTGAATACAGCCTCCCAAACGACCCTATTTTCAGAAAGTACTGCCAACTGACACCCCTCCCTACCAAAGTTCCCCTCACTTACAGAAGCTTTCTGGCAGCACCTGCATATGATACAGAGACATAACTGACAATTTCCTTCATAACTCAGTACAATTCCTCCCACCAGGTCACTTGATGATTGTGGCCTTAGTAACACTGCCCTAAGCTAGAGGAGCAGTCCAATGTACAGAAAGGCATCATAGGTAGAGCGAAGCAAGTGCATTCCCTCCTCAACCTACTCCCTGCATGAATTCAGAAAAACAGGAGATATGGGCTGGAAGTGATGGTTACAAGGGGGACATGGTCTTAGAAATGTCACACTGGATCACAGAAGATCCAGTGATCCACTGTTGTGCTGTTGACAAAGTCACTAGGGATCTTCTGGGTGAAGGGATTAGAAAGTCACCAGGACACCCCTAATCTCCTAATGCTACATTATAATGTATGCATATTAAAATATTTTCTCTTTAACTGTGAAGGAAGTACATGCACGGGGTAAAAAAAAAAAATCCCACAAAACAAATACGTATGTATCGAAAGTAAAATTTTCCTTGCTAGAGGTGACTCAATAACAGTTTTGTCACCAATACAGTATATTAACACATATATATGGGATTTAGATAGGGTAATGACAATCCTACATGCAAGACAGCAAAAGAGACACAGATGTAAAGAACAGACTTTTGGACTCTGTGAGAGAAGGCGAAGGTGGGATGATTTGAGAGAATAGCACTGAAACATGTATATGACCATATGTAAAATAGATGACCAGTGAAAGTTCAATGCATGAAGCAGGGCACTCGAAGTCCAAAGTCGGTGCTCTGGGACAACCAAGAGGGATGGGATGGGGAGGGAGATGGGAGGGGGGTTCAGGTTGGGGGGATACATGTGCACCCATGGGTGATTCATGTCGATGTACGGCAAAAAAAAAAGCAAAATATTATAAAGAAATTATCTTCCAATTAAAATTAATTAATTAATTAAAAACAAGATACCAGTTTCGTGCATGTGTATGCGACCTCTAACAGTGTGTACACGAACAGGCAGTTAAGTGACTTTCTACAGTTTTCTAAAACCACAAATGGAAGCACACTCTAGATGCCATTCTGTGCACTGCTATTTTCATTTCATAATATCTTAAGAAATAGTTTCCTATTAGTAGACAAATGTATCTAACTCACAGTACTTCACTGTACCATACTTAACGCCCCCATTCAAAGAGATTCAGGTTGTTCCCTAGTTTTTGCTATGGTAAACAATGATATAAACCATTGTTCCTTTGTAGATTATCTTACCTACAGAAAAAATTCCTCTAAGTGGAATTTCTGAGTCAAAAAGAAAGTGCATTTTTAATTTTGAAAGATACTGTTCAACGACCTCTCAGAGGTTTTACCATTACATTTAAGAATGAGTGTGACTCCCTCCTCAAATCCTTGACAACAATGAAGAATCAAACAATTTGATCTTAGTCACTCTGTAAAGAAAAACAGGTCATCTACTTTAATTTGTATTTTTGTCTGAGGAGGAAAATTGAGAATCCTCTCCTGCATGTGTGTTTTAAAGTCAAATTTACTGAAGTATAACTCACCTTTTTAAAGTATACAGTTCCATGATTTTTGACAAATATATATATATAGTCATGTAACCACTGCCACAATCAAGATAAAAGTCATTTTCCTCACACCTTCTACAAACTGTCTTGTGCCTCTTTCTCCACAGTCACTCCCCTCCCTCCATCTCCAGCCCTGGCAACCCTTTTCCATGGCGTAATACTCGTGAAATTCACCATGCTGCTGCATATACAGGTAGTTCAGTCCTTTTATTACTGAGTAGTATTCAATTTTATGGGCATATCTACTGACTAGTTGAGGGAATTGGGGCTGGTTTTGATTTTTGACTGTTATGAATAAAGCTGCTACAAATACTTGCAATGGGTTTTATGAACTGCTTTTTTGACTCCTGAGTAGATTCTCAGGGGTAGAACTGGGTAAAAATATGTAGGAATAGGTCATATGGTGAATATGCTCAGCTTTATCAAACCTATCAAATGGTTTCCAAAACAGTTGGGCTATTTTGCATTCGCAGTAGCCAACAGGAGAACTCTAGCTGCTTCATAAATTTGTCAACGCATGATACAACCATGTGTTTAATTTTGAAATTTTAGCTCTATTAGGTATGTAGAAATAACTGATTTTTAAAAGTTGATTTTCCTTAATGACTAATGATGTTGGTCATCTTTTCATGTGCTTTTTGGTCATCTATATATTTTCTCTGGTGAACTATTTGTTCAAATCTTCTGTCCATTTTAAAAACTGAATTGCAAGTTATTTTTAATACATTCAGGCTATAAGTCATTATTCAGATATATATTTTACAAATATTTTCCCTTGATCTGTAGCTCATCTTTTCTTCTTCCTAATATATTTTAAAGAGCAGATAAAAAAAAATTGGATAAGGTTCAGTTAATCAGATTTTTCTTTCATGGTTCCTGCTTTTGTGTTCTAGCCAAGAAATCTTTTCTAAAACAAGATAGCAAAGATAGAGTCTCTCTTATGTTTTCATCTTGAAGTTTAACAGTTTTATCTCTTAGGTTAGGACTACTAGTCTATTTTGA